GGAACAAATTATAGCAAACTGGGTGGCGTAACATACCCATTTATTATCATTCAGATCTGGAGATGGAAAGGGCTGTGTCTGGGTGTCAGCAGGGTGCTGTTCCTTCTGGGGTCACTGGGGGAGAATCCATTTCCTTAGATTTCCCAGTTTCCAGAGACCACCTAACGTTCATGGCTCATTACCATCTTCCCCATCTTCAAATCTCAGTCTTGTCTTCCTCCTCTGCTCCCTCCCCACCCCCACCCTCCTCTCCCCTCTTCCATGTCACACCTCCTCTGACTCTGACACCTTGTGTCTCTTACAATGACCCTGTGACCAGATTATCTCACCTAGTCTGCAAAGCTCCTTGCCATTAAAACAGAAGTTCTCAACCTGTGGGTTGTGACCCCCTTGGCAAACCTCTGTCTCCGAAAATATGTATGTCCTGATTCGAAGCAGTAGCAAAATCACAGTTATGAAGCAACCACGAAAATAACTTTATGGTTGGAGGTCACCACAACACAAGGAACTGTATTAAAGGGTCGCAGCATTAGGGAGGCTGAGGACCACAGAGTTAAAATGACAGGTCCAAGACACAGAGATTACGGCGGAGACATTATTCTGTCTACATTCCCTTCCAGGCTCCATCTGCATTGTTCCAAACCCCTGAAAATGACCTTCTCCTGCTCAGCTCTGATGGCAGCTGCGCCCCTTCCTTCTGAACTTTCCTGGTCTCCTGGTTGGATGTACCTGCATCTTCCTCCACACTCTTTACGATCTGGACCCGGCTCCTTTTCTGGGCCTGACACCATGTTTCTGTGCATCGGTTACTTTCTTGAGAAAGTAAGATTCAACTGGGTCCCTGTAGTGGGCAGCCATCCAGCTTTGATCTGGAAGTTCCAACCCCCATTGAGACTTCAGTAACTGTCATGCCTACAAGGTGGGGCCCAGAGAGGGCCCTGGAGAACTGAGATTCGAATGTGCTGGCTCTCTTGGTTCCTGAACCCTGGACGCTGGAAGTAGACAAAGCAGAGTTCTCCAGAGAACACCACCGGACTGCGACACACCTTTCCCGGACCTTGTAACCTATCCCTTCACTTGTGAGTTACCCCACAAAATAAACCTCCCTTTTAACTACGTGGAGTGGCCTTAATAATTTCACCTTCCTAAGGGGCGGGGACTAGGACGACATTACCGGGGGACAGATTACAGGAGCTATGCTGTGTTAGAGTTCTGCAGGAGACACAACCAGGTCTCCCTGGTCTCATGTTTCCCTGGGAGTCTCAAGGCACACCTCCGACCTTAGCTAGAGTGTCTCTGCTAGCCAGAGAGACCTGTCCTGATTGTGAGCTGGGAGGACTGTCCCCCAGGGGCTGCTGGCACCCTGGGAAGGGACCCACATTTGTATCTACAGCTTTGCCTGTACTTGAGCTGCAAGTCTGGTGGCGATTGCTCCTCTGTGGGCGGGGTGGCTGCTTGTCAGCACGGCCGGCTTCCGGCTGCCGGCTGAGAAACCTATCTTCAAGCAGGCTTGGCTATTTCCAGCCTAATTCCCTGCCTTTTGGCACGCAGTCCTCTGGTGTGTCAGGATGACTCACTTGGCATTTGTACTCACTAAGAGCCAGAGTTTAATGAAAAGGCGCTGGACAAGAACTTCCCAATCTCATTTCAGCAGCACGCGCCCCCCCCCCCCCCAGCCTCATCCCAACTCAGGTGGAATTTTACCTCCCCCAGCAGTGGAAAGCAGCACGTCTGAGCTGGGGCTGGGGTTGAAGTAGGCAGAAAGCAAGGTGAGTGAAGAAATAAAAGCATAAAACCAAAGCCCCCTCTCTCATAGGTCCCCAAATCAATGGAGGCGAAAGATAAGATACCAAATGATTGCATCATGTTGTAAAGTCTTGCATCAGCAAAATGCTAAGGAACTTAGGAACAAATAAGTAATAGATCTCAGTCTACATCTGGATAAATAAAAAAAAATATTAAATAATTAAGTCTTCACAGCACTGGACAAAACCTGGGAAAATTCTTCTTGTACAGTCTAAGAATTGCAAGGCCATTTTAAGGCTTAAGTACAGTAGAGGACCCAGAAGCCATAAATGAAATAGCTGCTTAAAGATATACCCTATGGCACTGGGCAATGGTAGCTCATGACTTTAATCCCAGCCAGCCTGGTCTACAGAGTGAGATCCAGGACAGGCACCAAAACTACACAGAGAAACCCTGTCTCAAAAACGAAAAAAAAAAAAAGAAAGAAAGAAAGAAAGAAAGAAAGAAGAAGAAAAAGAAAGGAAGGAAGGAAGAAAGAGAAAGAAAGAGAGAGAAAGAAAGAAAGAAAGAAAGAAAGGAAGGAAGGAAGGAAGGAAGGAAGGAAGGAAGGAAGGAAGGAAGGAAGAAAAAGATATTCCCTATGGCAAGATCTGCAAAATAGTCAAAACAACAGATACCAACTTGAGGGAAAAAAATATGCAAGTCATACCACAAAAAGGCTAATTCCCCTAATATAGAAAGAGTGCACACAAATCAATAAGAAAATAAGAAAAACACAGATCATCCATCACAGTGTAGGTAAAGGACAAAGCATACAGCTCACCGAAATAAAAACCCACTCAGCCTCACTTACATGATAGTGCAGCTGGGCAAGGGAGATGGCCATGGAGGACAGAGACCTGAATTCAGACCCCAAGAACATGTAAGAAACTGGTATGGTGGCATGTGCCTATAACCTTCATTGGGGCAGGGATCGGGTAAACACGTGAACCCCTGAAGCTCCAGCCAGTCTAGCCAAGTGGATGGACTTCAGGGTCAGTCAGAGACTGTGTCAAAAAATAAAGTGGAAAGTGATCAAAAAAAGCCATGTGAAGTTAACCTCAGCCCCTCCCCTCCAAATGCACATTTGCATGGGCGCGCACACACACACACACACACACACACACACACACACACACACACACACACACACCACTACCAAAACCATAGAGATATCACTTATTATCTTTAACACTGGAACAAATAAACTAAACATCCTCACATTGTGGGAAGCAGCTCAGTCGCCTGTTGAGGGTTGAGTACACACCGACACAAAATGTAAAGAGGCACATTGTCAACATCTTTCAATATTACGAATGTGCTTCCCTTGACTCAGCACTTTCTGGAGCATTTTTCCCGGGCAGAGCTTCTAACTTAAGAGGACCGTCACCGACTGCAGTGCTGTTTGCATTGTCTGATTAGTTTGTAACGGGAGCGTGGCTGTCTTTGAAGAAAGGATTGGGAGGCTTCATCAAGACAGCCGTGAGGCAGCAAGGTTTACACACACTAAGGAGCCCTATGTGTCCTTCAAAAGCATCAGGAATGCCTGCCCTCCGCGATGAGGATGAGGGTGGGTGGAGAAGCTCCCTCAGCAGGCGCGGGACAGTTTGCTCAGGACACCATCGTTTCTTCTTGGTATATAAAAGAAAGGGTGTGTGTGTGTGTGGGACTGCCAGCTATCTTCAGGCGTGAGCTCGGAGTGTTTGTTCCTGCTGGCTGTTTGTGCAAACACTGTCCCTTCATGGAGCTTATCCTCCTTCTATGCCTGATAGAAAAAAAAAGAAATATCTTCTAGGGCAATTTCAAATATTTCTTCCTTAAAAACCTTTGCTGACACTCTCAATTGAGCATGCCTGTAAAGCTATTAGAATGCTAAGGTTTGGTGAAAGATAAATCTTAATAATTCATAAATGAAGAAGCTTCTTCCTTATAAGACAGGTTGAACTGGAAGGGATGTTTTATATGGCCAACGCCGTCAGAAATGGATCAAAAACATAAAACCCGACAGAGAGAGTAAACATTCGTAGCACATGTTGATGACAGGTTTATTTATCCAGATGTGTTGAGATCCCCACACTCAAATAGTTCAGACAGGCAGGGCAGCACAAGCCAGTGACAGCAGCCTTTGGAAGGCAGCAGCAGCAGAGTCGGGAGTTCAAGGTCATCTCCTGCTACACAGTGAGTTCTAGGCAGGCTGGGTTGTATCAAACTCTATCTGAAAAAACAAAACAAAACAACAACAACAACAACAAAAAACAAACAACAACAACAACAACAACAAAAAAGGCCAGCAAGATGGCTCAGCAGGTAGAGGGACATGCTGCCAAGCCTGATGACCTGAGTTCAATACCCAGGTCTACACGGTTGGGGGAAAGAACCAGCTCTCCAAAGTATGTATCACGGCACATACACACACACACACACACACACACACACACACACACACACACACTCACTCCTGCCACTCATATACATACACATATGTAAAATTTAAGAAATTAACAAACACAAGACAACAGTAACAACACAAAAAGATAACAATCCAAAAAGGGGGGAAAAGACTTATTTAAGAACACATGAGCTTAATTGATTAAAAAAAAGGGGGGGGAGAAATGTGATTTAAAAGATTCTTTCCGGGGAGCGGGGCAAATCCTCGATTTTAGCCAGGAGGTGGTGGCACACACCTTTAATCCCAGCACTTGAGAGAGGCAGGAAGAACTCTATGAGTTTGAAGCCAGCCTGGTACAGAGTGAGTTCCAGGACAGCCAGAGCTACAGAGAGAAACCCTGTCTCCAAAAACCAAAAACCATACCCGGCCCCTAAAAATCTCGATTTTTAAGTAAGTATTTTTATCTGTTACAAGAAAAATTTACCGACACTCAGATTGTGATCTGGGGGAAGAGGTGACGGAATAGAGGGAGTATCAGCCTCTGACTTCCCTTGGGACAGTCACTTGGCAGGAGGCAGCCCCAGTTAAAACATGATAGCATGTTTAGTCCATCGATTCTATTCCAGCCATCTGTGCCCAGAGAGCCGAACACACGTAGAAACATGGGCATTGCCACGTCACTCAGAAGAAAGCAAAGGTCAGCAGAAGGATTGATGACAGGGCGAAGAGTGAATTCAGACTGTGGGCTCCTGTGCACGAGGTTTGAAAATGAGGTCGATCTTCACGTCTCTGAAGAGAGCTTCAAAGAGGCAAATGCTAGCTGAAGAACCATATGGAAAATATTATTGACTTGGGGGACGAGCTGTGTATACATGCGTATAAACTTGTCTATGTACATAAAACTACACATATATGTTGACATACATATACACACACACAGTTGCTGACTAACACAGTGGGAGAACCTGCATTTTGTGCTCTCTCCAGTCGGAGGGATTGATATGGTTCATTCACTGGCTGCTGAAGGGTAATGGGAGGGACCAGCTCATGCAGCTGGAAGGGATTTGATCACAGTTCCTCCTAAGGTGATATATCCCACCCCCCCAGTATTTTACCCTAAGAAGAGGCAATTTCCAAGGCAAGCATAATCAAACAGGAGTGAGTATAAGCTACTTCCCTGAAGCTGAGAGTTACAAGCGCTGAGTTTGCAGAAGTACCCTGCACAAAGAACGTAAATGGCCCTGCCAATGACACAGCACATATTAAAATTGTCTCTAATAGCTCATCCATTAGAAATCATTTCCCTAATTCCTTGTTTCTTCCCAAGCTTTGCTGTTTTCTATAGCCCTAGCTTAGAATTTGGAAAGGCAAGGCAAACCAATGCTGAATTAACACAGGCTACGTCCTTACTGCTAAAAGTGGCCTTAAATGACACCCTAGAATCATTTTAATTTTAAAGAATGTTTTTATTTGTTCTTTGAGAATTTCATAAAACACATTTGGAGAATAGTCTTTTCCCTCTTCCAAGTTTTCCCAGCTCCTCCCCCGTGTTCCTATCCATTCAGCTTTTTTTATTCCTTCTTAAAAACACAAAACAAAACAACAACAAAACCCAAGCTTAGGAGGCTGGTGGAGATTAACTCAAGGCCATGCAATCAAAATGCTTTGCACAGTAACACAACTCACAGACACAGTCATTTTGTTATCAGAGAGGCTCCTCAACTACTAAACGTACACAGACCCTATGTGGGGCACTATGAATACTGAGGTGAGCTGCTGTGTGTGTGTGTGTGTGTGTGTACACATGAGTGCACTAGGTATGAAGATATGGCCTTCACTATATAGAGCACAGAGTCTAATAGAGAAGACAAACAAAGTTTAGAAATCACTTATATAGGTGATAATGATAAGTACTGAAGACAACTGAGTAGTTATAAATAGTTAGCTTGAGAGGCCTTACATAGCTGAGCGATAGCTGAGTGATACATGTAGGATTAGGCCATATTAACTAGGACAGTGGACTAGTCAGGGCCGGGGAAAAGAAGGGGAGGAAGGAGAGGCTGAACATGGGCTCTTGTGGCTGAGGCTGAAAAACAAGAGTCGTCAGCTGGGTTAGGGGCTGCCCACAGGAAATAAGCTGGTGTAAATGGAGGCTTTTCTGTCCCACCCAGTCCTGCAACTGCTTTTAAAATAATCACCCAGAGGCTTAATATTAATTATAAATGTTTGGCCAATAGCTCAGGCTTATTACTAGCTAGCTCTTACATTTAAATTAACCCATTTCTATTAATCTAACTATTGCCACGTGGCTGTGGCATTACTAGTCTGCTGGCAGGTTGCTCCTTGGGAGCCTGGATGGCGTCTCCCCGACTCCACCCTTCTTCTCCTGTCTCTCCCTTGGATTTCCCATCTGGCTCTATTCTGCCTTGCCATAGGCCAAAGCAGCTTTATTTATCAACCAATGAGAGCAACACATATTCACAGCATCCAGAAGGCCATCCCACATCAAGCTGGGGCTAGACTTTTCTAGGGGCCATGTTAAGAAGTTTGGTTTGGGGCTGGGCATGGTGTCACAGGCCTTTAATCCCAGCACTAGGGAGGCAGAGGTAGGTGGATCTCTGAGTTTCTGGTTAACCTGGTCTACATAGGGAGTTTTAGGATAGCCAGGGCTACATAGTGAGACTCTGAAAAGAAAAAAAAAAAGCATAAAACCAGAAGAAGGTATAATAGTAGTAGTAGTTGTTGTTGTTGTTTGGTTTTTATCCTGAAGTCAATATGAGACTTCAAGTGTGAGTGGAATAAAATGACCAATCAGGTAAGATCATTCTCCTTGTGGTAAGAATCACAAACTGGCTGAGGGTCAGAATAAACAATGTGGGGACCAGTCACGTGACCCAGTTGTTACAAAGGGAGAAAACAATGCTAATAACTACTGTGGTGACTAAGATTCACTGTTAGCTTGACAGGATTCAGAATCCCTTTGACAACGTTTTTGGCATGACCTTACGGGCACTTTCATGGAGTTTTAACTGAACAGAAAAGACCCGCCTTGAACGCGGACAGCACCATCTCACTGGCGGGAGTCCCACAATGAAGGAAAAAGAAAACGGAGAAGCGGAACAGAGTTCGAGCAATCCCCTTTCTCTCCTTCCTCACGGTGGACGCACAGGGCTGGCTAGCTCAGGCTCTTGCCACCACAGCTGAGCTTGCTCTTGTTACCCCGCCTTGCAGAAGCTGCTTTCTGCAAGCTGCTTTTGCCACAGCAAGGAGAAAAGCAGCTATTATTTATAATATAAGTCAAGTTAGAGATGGTTCAAATGTCCACCATCAGTAGGTTATAAACACAGTGGGTTACTGCTATGCAGCAATAAAAACGAATGAGGATTACACATATATACATTATAGAGTTCTCACCGGGATATATTATTAGGTCGTATGTAGCTACTGTTTCTTTTTGGTGCTGGAGACGGAGCCCAGGGCCTAGTGCATGCTGAGTATGTATGTGCTTGCCAAGGAGCCACACCCTCAGCCCTGTGTTTGCCTTTTTAAAAGGAAATACTAAATAAGCCCAGGCAATGGGTAGCGAGTAGGGGGATGTGCTTCTAGAAAAAGTCAGGGAGCATGGTGGAGGGAATATAAGTAGAGACTGAAGTCATCTGGACAAAAATTGTCTTATAAATTTGACCTTGAAACCATACATTCATAATCATAAGACAAAATTAAATTTAAAAATCAACTCAGAAATACTGCAAATGAAACCAATGAATCTATGTATTGAGTTAATGGCATCATCCTATAAAAAGGAATTAATTAATTAGACTGCATAAAACTGTATGCCTTGGGGAGATAGCTATTGCAAAAAGAAATTGCAAAAAGAAATTGCAAGCTGTTTTCGGTAATCCTGTTGATATTGCTATCTTGCCGCTGCCCCAACAGTGCTGTGTTCATAATGACGGAGAGCACAAAGGGACCGTCATCCCCAGTGCCCGATGACTGAGAGTCTTGGTTTTCTAGTGTGATACAAGCTAAGAACGAAAATAATTGCAAAAAAAAAAAAAAAAAAAAAAAAAAAAACAACATTGAAATGGTCTTTCAGGTAACCCTACAGTTGGCAAAAGTGTTGCATTTTTTATGGTATTGCTACTGGAGTATAAGGCAGAGAAAATGAGCGGCTCCCTGCACTAAGCCTGTCCTTGCTGTCTTGGAGAACAGGAATTCCAGGTGCAGGACAAAGACAAAGGACAAGCCAAACCCCTGTGGCCTTGACCTGAGTGACCACTGACATTGTCAACCCATCGCGTCTTTCATCTTGAAAAAAGAAAAAGAAAAGATTCTTCATTTGTGTTTACTGAAAATATCTAGAAACAATGACCAAGACGGCAGAGACCTTCAGGCAAGATTATCGGCTCTAAATCCTATTTTTTACTTAAGTGATGTAGGTTCCTTAGAGAAATGGATAAATCCTGGTTCTGTGGGTAAATACAAGGCAGATGGGAAGTATTCCGAATACTCCTGGCCATGGAGGGGAAATGAAAACATCAATATGAATAACAGATCCATGTTAGATCTTAAGGAGAGAAAAAATATCAGTCACTTTGGGAGAACGGTATGGAATGAATGGATGTTGAAAATTAGTAAATAAAAGAGTCATGTGTTTGTCTTTTGTTTTCTGGTACAGAATGTATCTTAGGTTAACCAGCTGACAAGGTAAGAATTCTCCTAACTGATGCCTCCTTGCTGTCGAGTAAATAATAAAATATTAGAATTTTCAAATTCTTAATAAATAATGGATTAGGTAACGACCTAATGAAAATCATACAATGAAACCATTATCATCTATGAAGTATAGTTGCAAAAAGCTCAGATTTGGCCAATCTTTTAATTAATTAAATGACTTAGAGACAAGGTCTCATACAGCTCAGGCTGGCCTCCGACTTGCTGCAGAGCTGAGCATGACCTTGGCCTTCCCAGTCTCTTCCTTCTAGCTTCCAAGAGCTAGGATTACAGGGATCAAATGCAGGGCCTCACTCATGGTAGGGCAGCAGTCCACCCACTAGGCTACCCCATCCCTCCGATCAAGCTCTCAGATCTCCCTACGACACAAGACTTTCAGGAGATATTCAGAGGTATTCAGTAACAAAACATTCATGCACCCAGCAAAATTCAGACTGTGAAACTCTTGGTGATAAATGTTTCAACAAAAACATCACAGGGAAATCAAGAAGAGTCAGGGCACACAGAGTAAAGATTAACACTCTGAACAGGGTGTGGTGGCACAGGTCTTTAATCTTAGCACTCTGGAGGCAGAGGCAGGCAGACTCTGTGAGTTCAAGGCCAGCCTGGTCTACATAGTGAGTTCTAGGACAGCCAGGGCTACATAGAGAGATCCTGTCTCAAACCAACCAACCAACCAAACAAACAAACAAACAACTGGTTAATTTAAGTATATAGATCTTATTCTGACCTTGACTTAAATAAGCAAACTATTAAAAAACATCATTCCCAATAATTATAATCTTACATGAACTTGTCTAATTTGTACACGTTTGGAATTGTCTATACTGAATGGCAAATAACAATAAACCATCAATTGACCTATATTGAGTGCTTACTACATACATACAAGACACTTACAAGCACTTGTACTCTTATCCCCTTGGGTGGGGATGGAGCCTGAACTGGTGAGAGTGCCTGCCTACCACGTGCACAACCCTGGGTTTCATGCCCAGCTTGGCAGCAAATGAACAAAAACCCTATTAGCACCCTGCCAGGAAGCTGGTACCCATTGGCACTACATACAAGAAAAGACCAGGACAGAGTGCATAAGCACCTTGCCCAAGGTCACACAGCTAAAAAATTATGGCCTTGGGGAATAAGTAGCAGAGGATACTCTAAACCATGGGTTTATCACCAGCATGTCTGGATGAGGGGAACTTTTACTCCAGAACTTTTTTTAACCTATATATAGTACCTCTCATAACGGTGAGGGCTAGGGTTGTGATAATGGAGAGAAGTGGATGGTTGAGGAGGCATCGAGAAGGTGAAGGTGAAACTGACCAGACTCCATGCAGGGCTGGCTGAACACGCAGCTAAGTAAGGCTCAGGGAAGAATCCAAGACGTCTGTGAGGTTTCCGGCTTACGCAGTGGGACGGATGGCGCTACTGTCCAATGGAACAGGAGACATGAGCGCTCAGGTCTAGAGGGTAGAGATGATTTGTGTCTGGAGCATGCCCAGTGTGCAGTGCCTTTGGGACACTTAGGTGAGGTCCCAGATAGCTGGGGATACAGGCAGGCTCCCTTAGAGGTTACTTTTCTTTTTCTTTAGAACTGCCTCGTTTTTCTTCGGGGTGGGGACTTTTCTAGTATAGAGAAGTGGCTGAATATGCTGGGTTTTTGTTGTTGTTGTTGTTTTGGTTTTTGTTTTTCTCCCAGAGGTATTGGTGGAGTCACCTGTACACTTTGTAAAGCTACGTTGACTCCGCTGTCTAAGGAAATGGGTGTGGGGACGGCATTTATTCAACCATGCCTTGGTTGCTTACTGTGTTCCATCCACTGGATTAAGAGCTCCTGAAGTCTCTATCAGTCACTCTTCCCTCACAGTTGCAAAGTTCTGATTCTTCCCACGTTTGCAACAAAGGGACTGAACATTAAAAAAGAAGAAGAAGAAGAAGAAGAAGAAGAAGAAGAAGAAGAAGAAGAAGAAGAAGAAGAAGAAGAAGAAGAAGAACCACAATTACTTGCCTGACGTCACAGAGGTACAAAGTAGCAGTCCCCATTGCCCATCGTGTCTCTGGTTTGCAAAGCATGGGTGAAGACCATTGTGTCTCTGGTTTGCAAAGCATGGGTGAAGAGGTTCGTAGACATGACTTCGCTGTACAGACCACCATAGTGAAGCAGCCCTTGGGTTGCACTTTTCTCTTTTAATGAATGACTTCATGTGTGTGGAGGTCTGAGGACAATTTGTGGTGGTCTGTTCTCTCCTCCCCTTGTGTGGGTCCTGGGGATTGAATTGAGTCGGTTCCCAGGCTTGGCAGTAAACACCTTCACCCGCGGAGTCAGCTCCTTGGCCTCCTGCGGTGCTTTTCATCCAACACTCTGTTGCAACATATGGAACAATTCAGTTAGGCGCTAGTATGTTTCAACTCTTCTGTTCTTGTCTGAGATAGTCTGTACCTCAGGCTCAATCTTGAGCAAATAGTAACAGAATAGAGCAGAAATTTAAGTAGTATCTCATTTTCATTCTGTATATTTGGAGGGCTACCTCCTATTTATTTGTGATATTAGTGTTTCCATGTACACAGAAACAGACTTTTTTTTTTTCCAAAATAAACTTAAGTAAAATAAATGAGGTAAAAGAGCACTGATATCGACCTGATTATTAATTTGATTGGGTTGAGAGACACCTAGGCTACTAGTAAAGCACACCTTTGGGTGTGTTAATAGGGTGTTTCCAGAGAAGGTTAGCTAATAGTTAGATAAGAACCCTGGATGTGAGCAGCACTGCCCTCTAGGCTGGGCACAGATGAAAGAAACAGGAAGAAGCAGTGTCTCTGCTTTCTGGCTGCGAGGAGGTGAGCGGCCCTTCCATTACACAACCCCCCCCCCCCCATGATGTTCAGCCCTACCTCAGGCCCAAGGAAATGGAAGCAGCAGCCCATGGCCGGAAACTTAGGAACCTGTGAGCAGAAATAAATCTTCCTACTACCAGTCTCTCACAGGAATTCGTGACAAAAAGAAACATCAACACTCTCATATGCATAGGAGCAATGGTAGTTCAGAAAAACGGAGATAACTCACTAGATGAAGCCATTAGAAGGATGACCTCTGCAAAGACGTTCTTCACCTCCTCACCCTCACCATGGATCACCCTCTGCCCTTACCTAAGAGTAAATGACTGTCTTCACCAAACGTCCATCAGCTTCCCACTTAAATATACAGTTTTTGTTCACTGGTGGCCAAATCTTTGTAGTAAGCTTGTTGCAGACCCCTAATGGCATACATCAGATATTGTCTTTAGTCTCCATTAACCAGACTAGCATAGTCTTTGGCTGCCCACCAAATAGCCTATCCAGGCTTCAAGAAAGAAACAGGGCGAAAGGCATGTAACTAGTAAGTTATGGCAGTCAACACCTAAGACACTGGGTTATTTTGGAAAAATCTTACAATAGGTATTTTTTGTTGTTGTTTTGTTTTTAGACAGGGTCATATGTATCCCAGGCTGGTCTTGAACTCATCAGTAGCTAAGGATAACCTTGAACTTCTGATCTTCCTTGCTGGCACAGCCTGAGTGCTGGGACTACACTGCCCAGTGGTTATGATGCTGGCATGGGCAAGCATTCTACCAGCTGAGCTACAGGCCCTCCAATTGTCATTTTAAAGCTCTCTCTCTCTCTCTCTCTCTCTCTCTCTCTCTCTATATATATATATA